GCTTGTATATCATTTTATGAAGTCTTGGTTGAAACCAAATGTTGGTGTTCGATATAATGTTTTGAGCGACTTTTGCCAAATGGGTTGGCTTTGGTGTAGGTAGAGTGGCGGTGGTGGCGGTGGCGATGGAGTAGTGGTTGAAATTGCATAAAACGATATATTTTAAGATTTTAATTGATGTTTTGTCACTTTTTTGAGGTTTTGTAACTTTTTTGCATTTATGCAACTTTTTTGTGTGTTTGGCATTTGTTTTTAGCTTTTGTCACTTTTTTATGTCATTTTATTGAACTCTTTTTAATGTTTTAATTGATGTTTTGTCATTTTTTTGAATTTTGTCACTTTTATTAGTGTTGGTCATTTTTTCTGAATTTGTGTTACTTTTTTAATCTTTGTCAATGTTTGTCAATTTTCTTTAATCTTTTTCAATTTTTTAATGTTTGTTACTTATTTTTGAATTTTTGTCACTTTTTTTTTAAATGTATGTCACTTTTTTCTTATCACTTTCTTGAAATCTATATCACTTTTTTGAGTGACAAACATCATTTTTAATAAAAGTTGTATATCACATTTTAATTAAAAGTAACGTGTCACTTTTTAAAAAAAAAAAAAATGACACTTAATTTTCAACAGTATTTTTTACTTCCAAAATACTTTTCACATGATTTTTCAAAAGACCCTTAATTTTAAGGGTATTTTTGTAAGTTGCCCAAACTTAATGTACATCAAGTATGATTGTAGCATTAGATGATCATTTTGATTAATAGGATGAGCGGACATTACTATATTATTTATTTAAATTTTGAATACGTTTTTAGACATTAAATAATATGATTTTGATCTTACTATCATATAAATTGATGATAACTTAAACACTAAATAAATAATATTATTCATATATAATTAGTTTTTATTTAAGAAATTTAATACTAGCTTTGTAGATTTAATTTTAGAAGGAACATCGATATTATTATATTCAGTCATGCATGCTTGCTTAAAAATGTTGTTTACATTGGGAGTAGAGGATTGTCCAGCCACACACTATTCTGACCAAGAAAAAGAGACTCTTTCACTGGATAAACTTACCCTTTGCTTCTTGACAAATAAGGGAGCATGTGATACCTAACTTATGAGAGTACCTTCACGAGCTTGGAGATTAGGCCTGTATACAGCATTCACGGAATTGCTGCAGTTTTGGTGTTCAAATGCAAATTTTAACCCCGTCTAAATCTCAGTTTTAGAGAAGGGGGAAAAGCGCACAGTTTACAAAAAAAATTAAGCTTTATTTAAATACAAGCAATTCCAAATTTTTTATCTGCTAACAGCTTTAAAATTAATTACAAGTGTTGTGGAAACTGAAATACTCTAATACCAATTTGTTAGTGAGATAAGGAATTAAGTCACAATATGAAGCAAATGATCACAAGAACAATGTAATTTGTAGAGAATTGAGATTTTATTATGTGTTTACAATGTGCATAACCTTTTTTTTTTTGATAAACAACAATTCATGCATTAATAATCAGTCAATATCCATACATGAATTGGCATCAAGCCATAAATTTTTTTGAAGGAAAGATGGAAGATGATCCCACCATACAGAAATATCAGCAACATTCCAAGCATTCCTAGCCAATGCATGAGCTACAGAATTCCCCATACGATTAACATGTTGAATTTGGATTTCCTGAAATCTTGACAAGAGTTGCTTGACATCAGCAATAATGTTACCTGCATTAGCTAAAGAATCTGATGAAGCTTGCAATTCTTGAACAAGCAAAAGACAATCACTTTCGATCACAAGCTTGCGAATGCCAAGTGGTACACATAGCTACAATCCCCTTAGTATTGCAAGAGCTTCAATTGTAGCCGCTTCATCAACATCATCCTCCCTTTTTGTTGTGGTCATTAACACTCCACCAGTAGCATCCCGTAGTACCACTCCCACATCAGCTTTCCGAATATCCTCAAAAATAGCTCCATTGACATTCATTTTAACAAAGCCATCCGGAGGTTTCTACCACTGGTAAACAGTTCTAATCCTTCTTGGTGATGCTAGCCGAACTTCATACATTGAAATAGCATGCTCAACTGCCTGCTTGCATTGAACTAAAGTGCTCTCCATTTGCATTTTATTCCACCTATACCAAAAACACCAGCATAACATGAAAAACAAAGCCACCTCATTATCATTGCCAAGCCGTACTACTTTCCTCACAGTATCAATAAAATTTAAAGAGATGGGAAAAGTGTTAATCAAAGGGAGGTATTGCTACCACACATCCCTGATATCTGGACATTTTAGGAAAACATGATCCACATCCTCATCCGCACTTTGAAAAAAAACAGCACCCTAATGGAATATCAATGTTCTTCTTCTTAAGGTTATTAAGAGTTGGGAGAATATTTTTGGAAGCCTTCCAAATAAAAGACTTGATCTTTCTAGGCATCTTCATTTTCCAGATCCTCTTCCATATGGGTGTATCTTGTGACTGAAATGAGGATTCACCAATTCTGTCAACAATACCATTTAAAATTAATTTATAAGCTGATTTCAATGTAAAGTTTCCACTTGACTCATTATCCCATATTAGCTTATCCCTAACTCGGTTAAAAGGAAGTCTGATTTTGAGAATCTCCTCAACTATATTTGGATTGAAGAGAGCCCTCAACACCTCTCTATCCCATGAATTTGTCTCAACATCAATCAAGCTATTTACAGTGGCATCTTCGTCAAAGCTAAATCCTTGTCTTCCATGCAAACCTGGTTGAAGAGACCTGACATTAGGCAGCCACCAGTCCTTCCAAATCTGTACCAATTTACCATTACCCACTCGCCATCTACATCCCTCTAGTAGCCATTTCTTTGCTTCAAATATTCCTCTCCAAACATAGGATGAACCCACACCTAATCTTGCTTGGAAAAAGGAACACTTGGGATAATATTTGGACTTAAAGATTCGACTTAGTAATGATGTTTCGTTCTGTAATAACCACCACCCTTGCTTAGCTAACAGTGACATATTAAACATATGTAGATCTCGAAAGCCCATTCCACCCCGTAACTTAGATACACATAGCTTCTTCTAGCTTATCTAGTGAATTTTTCTCTCATTATTACGCTGGCCCCACCAAAATCTAGCCAACATACCTTCAAGTTGATGACACAAACTCAGAGGCAATTTGAAACAACTCATGGCATAGGTAGGTATGGATAATGTCATTGCTTTAATAGGAATCTCTCGCCCTCCTTGGGATAAAAGCTTCTCTTTCCAACTTTGTAAATGATTCCAAACCCTCTTCTTAATCTCATCAAAAGCTTGAGATTTATTTTTTCCAACAAAATTTGGAAGTCCCAAATATTTATCATATTGTTAGAAATTTGTAACTCCCCATAACCTTAATAAATCCCTCTGCTGCCCTACTTCTACATTCTTTGGAAAAACCATTGACGTCTTCCCTCTATTCACCATTTGACTTGAAGCTGATTCATACACTTGCAATAAACTTTGCACACACCTGGTTGTCTCAATATCAGCTTTACAAAAAAGAATACTCCCCAAAAAGGAGGTGGGTTACCATTGGGGCCTCTCTACAGACTTTAACTCCCACTAAGTCTCCTCGAGCTTCAGCATTTTTTAGTAGTGCAGTTAACCCTTCCGTACAAAGGAGAAATAGATAAGGGGAAAGTGGATCCCCTTTCCTAGTACCCCTTGTGGGTAAAATTGGACCATGAGCATCTCCATTAATTAAAACTAAAAAATTGAAAGTTTTAATGCACTCTATAACAATGCTCACAAAGCTAGCTGCAAACCCCAACTTAAGCATAATCATCTCCAAAAAACCCCACTCCACCTGATCATATGCTTTACTCATATCTAACTTAAGTGACATATACCCCTTTTTACTACTTCTCTTGTTTCTCAAATAATTAACCAGTTCATAAGCAATGAGTATATTATCACCAATCAAAATGTTTTGTGTTCTGGTCCTCTTCTTTTAACCACTGAATCCGTGGTCTTTGTTTCCACATGACCTCTTCTCATTCAAGCCATAGTTGCACATTCGTCTTAGCCTCATGGATTCCAGTAATATTTGGTTGCATAGCATCCAGGTTTTGCATTCTCAACAATTGTCTTCTAGCCTTTTGCAACTTCTTATTAACCTGCCCAAAGGAAGCCTTGTTCCAAATTGTCAATTCCTCTCCACACCCCTTGATAAGAGCACTAACCCCATCCATATCCATCCCTCTGCCTCTGTGATCCCATACCTGGGTAATAATTCATTCATATCTCTCATCTCCTAGCCACATGGCCTAAATCGAAAATGCTTACGCCTTCGAAACTTTTCCTTAACACCCACAGTTTCAAACACCACTGGAATATGATCTGAACAAGCTGCCATCCCACTTAAAACCACAGCATGAGGAAACATTTCACACAATAAATCATTCCCCAAAACCTATCAAGTCTTTCACTCACTGCTGCATTACCCTTCCTGCCATTAGACCATGTATACTTAGGACCCTTAAAGCTTAAGTCATGGAGATTACAGTCATCCAACACCTCCCGAAATGCCTCCATTTGTGCTAGAGGCCTTAGTCTTCCCCCTATTTTCTCATTCATGCTAAGAATTTCATTAAAATCATACAATGAAGAGTTAAATATATATAGAATATAATTTGGGGACTTTCAAACACTTATAGTAGAGTTGTAGATGAAGTAGAATGTCAAAAACGAAGTAGGAGAAGAAAAATACGCCAAACATTGTTATGGTGCCGCAGCGCCGCTGCCGGCGCTGGCTTCTCTGTCCACATTTTCGTGGATGACGCCTTGGTACTCGTCTCCGTCCAAATTGTTTTCCAAAGATTTTTTTTTGGTTCCAAAGTCATCTTTAAGTCCAACACAAATTTATATTCCAATGAACTTACAAGTAGAACTTCAATTAAAATTCACAAAATAAACTTGAATATGATTTCACAATTACATTTCAAATAGGATTCTAATTAATGTACACTTTGATTAGAACTCTCAATTATCTTCAATAAGGGATTCGGGTCACACCCTAATTCTAACAATGTCTACATTGACACAAATTTCACTGTAATGAACAAAATTTCAAAAAAGTTCTCCACCTAGAGGCATATTGCATAGCAAGGAATGAACTTAAAATTTTCAATGAAAATCACAAACGAACTTCTACTAAAAAAAATTTCAACTGGAAAAATTCTCCACCTCTGCTACTACAATTAGGTACAAAAGTGATCTAATGATCACCAACAAGGTTGAAACAAACTATGTAACAGAATAACAAATAAATGAATCAAAAGAAGGATTTTTACTAGAATTAACACTTTTAACCGCATTCAAATCATCAACAGATTTCACCTATATGGAATCTTAGGGCAAAAAATAGATCTATTTATAGCAATTGAATACGATGGCACTGTCGATAATGGTGGCAAGACAAATTTACCCATATTTTCAAAATTCAACTAACATGTATTCTTAAAAGAAGACTCCAAATTAGATTCCAACTGTATAGAAACCAACTCTAAATCTACCCGAGTTCTTAAAATATGTTGATTACTCGAACATTCTGTATCACCCTACAAAATATATAAATGGAATTTTCTATGTCCCATCAGTATAACACGAGCTCCTTTGATAACTTTCAAAACTCCACCTTCAATAGTGTACATGTACGCTTTTGAATCAAGAGTAGTTAACGAGAGAAGATTTTTCTTTAGATCTGGAACTTGTTTCACTGTATCAAGTGTTCTAACTATCCCATCGATCATCTTTATTCTGATCTGACTAATACCAGCCATCCGACAAGCTCTATCCAAAATTCAAGCATCATCAAGTTTGGAGTTGTAGCAGACATAAATAGAAACTTTCCATCACTATTAGGATTTTTTCCAATACTTGCATCTCGTGAAGTTTTAAATTGTTGATTTATAGTTGAATTTAATTTATTCTGTAACTTATAACGATCGTTTACCAAGTGCCCATTTTCTTGCAATAATTACAAAATTTGAAATTAGATTTTGACTCATCCCTCGAACACCACCATGAACAATGAGACCATCTTCATGATCCCCGAATGCTATAAGATGCTTCATCTCCTCCTTTGAATATAGAATATCATAGACTTCTTCGATGATGAGAATATCATGACTATATAATATTGTGTCCCTAAAAGATATGTATGAGGCGAGCAATTAACATAACAAAATCAATCGCAAGTCTTCTTCATCATATTTGACCTCCATGGTCTCCAACTCCATGATAATTTCTTCAAAAGCTGATAGGTGATCCTCAAGAGATGTATCTTCCTTCATATGATGAGAATATAGACGTTGCTTTGAATACATTTTCTAGTAAGACTTTTAATCATGTATAATTGCTCAAATTCTAACCATAATGTAGTGACTGACTTCTCTTTCAAAACGTTTTGAAAAATATTATTTAAAAGATGAACATGTATTTGAGATAGAGACTTTGATCCCTCATTTGTAGTCCAAGTCATGTGCATCTTGTCAAATCCTAACAACGCGTCATCGAAATCCATCTAAGCGGGTACTGTTTGCATCTTTACCTACCACAAAGAAAATATTGTATTGCGATCTAAAAACGGAATACATACTTCACTGCTGTCATCACGAAAGATCAAGTTGAGGTATTAACTAGATCAAAATTTCAATTTCCCAAAAATTTCAACACCAAAAGTTCTGATACTAATTGTTATTGAAACTGAAATATTCTAATACCAGTTTCTTGTGAAAAGATAAGAGATTAAACCACAATAAGAAGTAATTGATTACAAGAATATAAAAACAATGTAATTTGCAGAGAATGGAGAATTTATTATAATATGAAGACAAAATACAAAGATTGTGTGTTTACAATGTTTCTAACTTTTTTAACTTCTTCTAAAATACAATGAAGAGCTATATATATATTGACCTCAAAATATGCTACCAACAGATGTCGGACTCATTCGTGCATGCACAAGCTAGATCCAACACATAAATGCGGATCAACGGTCAAGATCACTCTACAATTAGACGTGGGAGAATCTCAACGATACGAGACGTTTTTGTTTTGGTTTCGGCAAGATATCCGGGATACGATTGTATAATAATAACCAATCACAATGAACTCAAATTTAAGATTGTAAATGAATGTAAGAGAATAAAACCAATTTCTCTAAGTATCTAAAGTTGCATTCATCCTCAATTGTTACATGGTTGAGGCATTTATAGTGTTACAAACGGAATGATGACCCTTAGATGAAGTTACATGTGCCCTCATCTCCTCGATCGAAATATCAAATCCTAGTCATCATGTTGACTTTTCTAGATTTGCAAAGCATTTAATACTCTTACATCATATTGACAAGATAAGACATAAATACACTTTTTACAAACGTCACATCAATCATTCAAATATGCTTTCCATAATGAATTCAAGATCTATGTACGTGGGCCATCACTAATTGGAGTGTAGCCTCGAACCTATTGGGCCTCGGATCTGAGCCTCCTCGGGTTGTCCACCTCAAATTAATGATGGGTCTCAAAAATTACCATGTGGGCCTCGTCTTCTATGGCTGGTGGTTCAGCGGAATGAGTCCACAACTTCACTGGGTCGGTCATGTGGCAAATGCTAGTGACAAGTTATAGCAATAGTTCCCCAAGTTCATATATGATTATTTATATTATGAGTGGACTTTTAGTAGTTAGCGAACTACCTTCATTGGGCATCACAAGAATGCTTTAAAATTTCTAATCCATCGTGCTAGTCTCTCAAGTCCAGGCATAGATATTTATATTGTGCGTGGAATTGATAGTTGAATTTGTTTTTGGAGATGAGGCAGTGGAACGCTGAACTGTCAGGCTCATTCACTTTAGAGATGGCTGAATTTGTTTTTAGAGTTGAGGCAGTGGGACGGTGAACTGCCGAAGCTCATTCACTTTGAAGATAGCTGAATTTATTTTTGGAGCTGAGGCAGTGGAATGCTGAACTGCAGAGGCTCGTTCACTTTGGAGATAGCTGAATTTGTTTTTTGAGCTAAGGTAGTGGGACGGTGAACTGCCGAGGCTCACTTACTTTAAAGATAGTGAAATTTGTTTTTGGAAATGAGACAGTGGAACGCTGAACTGCCGATGGTCATTCTCTTAGAAGATAGCTGAATTTTTTTTTGGAGATGAGGCAGTGGGACGGTGAACTATCGAGGCTCACTCACTTTGAAGATAGCTGAATTTGTTTTTGGTGCTGAGGTAGTGGGCGCTGAATTGTCGAGGCTCATTCACTTTGAAGATGAGGCAGTGAAATGCTGAGCTGCAGGGGCTCATTGGCGCTGATTACCCTTGATATTGGTGCCATGATTTGATAGTTTCATATGCTACCAAGATGAGACAGCTGAAGTGGTGCAACTTCCAATAGTCGTACTGTCGTCACATTAAATGTGCAATGATGGCTAATGATGTTACACGTCTTTGCGATAAGCACTAACGCGCTGAGGTGGGTACGTGATATTTATGAATGGATCTGAGGCATTGGTATAATAAACTGTTTGAATTCTACGGCTCGAATTTATCACAGAATTGAACGCTTCAGATTCACTAGGTCTAGATCCAATGACTAGGATGGATTCATTTTTCATATAAAAACTAAAACTATGCCACTTTAAAGTTTTATTTTTGCGAAAATCACTTGAATTATCTCAAGCACTATAACCTTAAAAATTTTCGGCGTCTTCTTGTTCTCCGACAAGTATTCTTAGGTCACGTTCGTTCCCAGGTATTTTCTTTGTGAAAAATGATTTTCACAACCTTTCATCAATTTTTGTAATTTTTCATCATTCTCTGCTATTTTTGATGGATTCTAAGGCGGCTATGGCAGTTACGGTAGCTAGGTTAGGGGTGAATTGGGACCTGGGGGGTCGGAAGAATGGTACACTCTGAGTAAGAACCCATAGATTACGAGGCGGGTTGGGGGCTGCAAAAATTCCTTTGGAAGGAAGTGTCCTTAGGCGAGGACATGTTTTCCAAAGTATCTTCCAAGTCCGGGTGGTAGAGAAAGATGACTCCAAGGGGTGGTATTATCTCACTCCCTGAGGACTCATACCCCTTCTGTCGTGGGACTTCTTTCATCCATCAAGGGCTAGAAAGAGTCTTGGTTCAGGGTTAGAGGTACGTGGCAAATGGTGGAGGGGGATGTTTTCCCATCTTACACAGTACCGACCCATTACTATAAAGCGCGTGAGTGCCCCACTTTCCACACTTT